ATAAAGTCTAGCTCCTCAGGAGAAATATCTCCACCACCAGGCCCTGTCCAAAACTTGATTTCAAATGCCTTGGTCCATTCCCTATCACTGCCATCATTAATCCTGTCACTTATCACCTTGCACTTCCTTCCTCATATCAAATTCACCCCGTTTTTCACTCCTCTCTCCTTGAGCCTTATATTCCCAGTCCTATTCCAAATCGGGTCATTCCTCCGCCTCCACCAGTGCAGCTCGAGGATGGGTCTGAGTACGAGGTTCAGGACATCCTTGATTCCAAGATTTCACGGTCTAAACTCTACTATCTGGTCGATTGGAAGGGTTATGGACATGAGGAACGCACTTGGGAACCTGCAGACAACCTGATTCATTCTTCTGACCTTGTTCAGGACTTCCACCGCCGCTATCCTTCTCATCCCAGTCCCCATTCTTTTTCTCCATCTCCCATCCCTTGCCACTCATCTCATCCTCCTCTTCGTTCACGTTCACGTCCTCGTTCCTCTCGTTCTTGAGGAGGGGGTGCTATAAGAAATCCCCCAATTCTTGCCACATTCCTGACTCTCACTGGATTCCTGACTGCAGACCACATTCCTGACTCTCAAGACACTTCCCTATTCCTGACTCTCTGACTTCCTGTACGATTCTTGAGTCTCGAGCTAAATTCCTGATGATGATGTGGCGCCTCCTCGACCTCAGCTATATTTAGGCCGTCCTCGATCTAAGAGTGGTGGAGCTTCATCAACCTATAGTATATATAGGTTAGCCTTGTTCCATTTTTCCACAATCTGAATCAACACCAGTCTAAGGCCTCTTCTTTGTTATTCACTATCTTTTCTCTTTGTCTTTTGCATTTTCTAGTCTTGATCTTGTTGGGGGTCTTGACACTTAAGATACTCAAGGAATACCCTATTCAAGCTCTATATAGCAAAGTTCCCACATCTCTATCACTCTGCACATCCCCTATTGCAATTAGAGCTGGCAACTTACTCTCATGCCTCTAATTCAGCATGTCATCATCATCTTCCTGACTGACACAATGCTATCCTACACATTCTGTCAGGAATCCCCTAATTCTTGCCACATTCCTGACTCTCGCCGGATTCCTGACCCATAGACCATATTCCTGACTCTTTAGACACTTCCCTATTCCTGACTCTCGAGACACTTCCCTATTCCTGACTCTCTGATTTCCTGTACGATTCCTGAGTCTCGAACCACATTCTTGATGATGACTTGGCGCCTCCTCAACCTCAACTATATTTAGGCCGTCCTCGATCCAAGAGTGGTGAAGTTTCATCAACCTATAATATATATAGGTTAACCTTATTCCATTTCTCCACAATCTGAATCAACATCAGTCTAAGGCTTCTTCTTCGTTTTCATTAGCTTTTCTCTTTGTCTTTTGCATTTTCTAGTCTTGATCTTGTTGGGGGTCTTGACAGTTTGATTCAGATTGTGGTTTTTGCTTTTGCTTTAGCTCGTTTTGATTGTTTGACTGCCTTTGACGTTTTCCCCCTTTTTCTTTCTTCTTTGACAATGGAGTCTCCAACCCATCCTGATTTCTTTGTTGAAGTCCTTGCAAAAATCCAGTGTGAGAATACCGAGCTAAAGGTGACCTTTCTTCACATGCAATAGGAGCTTGCTTCACTTTTGGCTCAAGGACAAAGCAGAGTTCCTGAACCGAAGGTGAGTTTCCCGGCGAAGTTCTCAGGCAAGTGTTCGAAGCTTCACGGATTCTTGAACCAGATGGAGCTGATCTTCGCAGTTCAATATCGGCGGTACCCCACTCCCAAGTCTAAAATTGGCGCGATCGGGACATTGTGCAAAGGTGCAGCTTTGTCATGGTTTTCTCTTCTTCTAGAGAAGAGCATGAAAGGGGTCATGGTTCCGGAGCTGATGGATCTTCAGTTGTTCAAAAAAAAACTTGAAGCATGTTTTGGTAAGATGGATCGAGTTCGGGCTGCCACCACAAAGATGAGACGTCTCTCTCAAAGGTCTCGTCCTGCCTTGATCTATGTTGTGGAGTTCCAACTCTTTGCCTTGGACACTTAGTGGGATGAGTGTAGCGCATGTTATCATGGGATGAGATTTGGATATACTGTCACCGTGGATCCTTGGAACCTTAGGGGATAAATGGGGATAAAATAGCCACTAAGGGCTCTCTCATCAAGCAATTGCCCCTTTTTCAGTTGGCTTAAGGGGAGAGAGATAAGGTGCGCTACAGTTGGTATCGGAGCAAATGGCACGGGTTCGATTCTCATTGATTAGTGGCTACTTAAAAGTATAATATACCCTTGAGCAAGGTATATTCCTACCCCTAAATTTGAAATCGTACATATTGGGCATCCACCGTGGGACTGCGGTACGGGTGGATGACTAGTTGCCTCACATGGAATAGCTGGTCTACACAATGGAAGGATTGGTAGATTAAGTGCGGAAATGGAGGTGCTGGTTCCCCTTGGCTCAGTAGGGGTTGTTAGTCAATAGTCAATGAGGACATTGACATCTTTGAAGGGGGGGTGAGTGTAGTGCATGTGATCATGGGATGAGATTTGGATATACTGTCACCGTGGATCCTTGGAACCTTGGGGGATAAATGGGGATAAAATAGCCACTAAGGGCTCTCTCATCAAGCAATTGCCCCTTTTCCAGTTGGCTTAAGGGGGGAGAGATAAGGTGCGCTACAATGAGCGGGCCCTGATTGATCAATTTTGTTTCGGCCTCAACAACGATGTCAAGGATTTGTTGCTCACCATGGAGGATCCCATGGACCTATCGAACACCATCAACAAAGCTATTCGATGCGACAATCGTCTCTTTGAACGTCGTCATGAAAGTCGCCGCGCCGCCGTTTTCCCGTCCCAAACTCAGGAATCCCAGCTTGAGTCTTTGAGGCATACTCCTGAACCTACTGCTCCAGTCTCGATGGATATCTTTGGTACTCCCGGACTCATTAGAGGGAAGTTGAGTCCTACTGAGAAGCAACGTTGAGTATCTCATAATCTTTGCCTCTACTATGTTGATTTTAATCACAAAGTAGCTGTGTGTCCCAAGAAGCCTCTCCAACTGCTTGAGTTCACTCTGCCTGAAGATCCACCTCTGTTGCAGTCGGGAAATGGCCCTGTCCAAACAGAGTAGGGCTGTTTATTTGGACTCCCCACATAAAAATCACTTTTCTTCTTTATCAAGCTCCTCACCACCTTTCATCAAAGCCACCACCAATTCCCAAAAATTTCGCATCCCATGTCTGCTTCCTTTCACTGGACAATCAGGACTCAAGGCTCTGGCGCTATTGGACTTGGGTGCAACTTCCTGCTTCATGGACAAGGATTTTGGTGCCCGATATCACGTTCCTCTTTCTCCTACCATATAGGATATGAGGGTTGAAGGCATTGGCAGGCATTTTGTGTCTCCATCTTCTGGAATTAGGGAAACGTTGCTCGTTTGAGTACACATTGGGTCCACCATCACTGATATCGCCTTCAACATCATCAATAGCAAGTCCTCCTTTATGGTGCTCAGCCTTCCTTGGTTCCAACTGTACTAGCCTCAGATTTGTTGGAAGGAATTATAGCTTGTCTCTCCCACGTCACTATCTCCCATGTCTTCCGCTACTGTTCATCGAGTCTGAATCAGGAAAAGTTCCCTAAACTCAAATTAGGGTTTTATTCCTGACTTTACGAAGTTTTCACCCTCTTCTTTCCCCTCTCTTCCATCTTACATTGGACAGTATCCTCGTCTCATCATTCTATTCAGTCGTACGCCCTCTCCTATCTCCACAATCACTATGAAAGAACTCCTTCACAAAGAATTTGTTTACCTTTTTGCTGTGCATATTTCTCCTATTAGTCTTCCTGAGAAGCATAGTTACGAATATGAACACGGAACACGAACACGAGCCTCAGATTTCAGGAACCCGAACACGGAACACGATCACGGCCCACGATGGCTCACGAATATTCTACTGAATATTCTAAGAATATGTTATTTAAAAATTATATTCTATTTCTTATTATATTATTATAGGAATATGCTATATTTTATTATATTATTCTTAATATTTTTATTTGCACATAAACTACTTCACACTTTTAAACTACTCAAATATCCTACATCTCATCGTCATCTTGAACCTCATGATCTTCGACCTCACGATCTTCGACATCATCTCCATCTTCCTCTTCCTGTCCTGACTCAAGCTTGTCTTCAGGATGAGGAACTGTCTCCAGGACTTTGTAGCTTACAAACTTGTCGTAATCACGATCATTTTTGCAAGTTAACAACCTGGTGTTACAAGCCACAAAAACCAGATCCGCTGTCCTGTCCATGGTAAGTCTGTTCCTCTTTTTTGAAGAAACATGCTCGAAAGTACTGAACAATCTCTCCACCGAGGACGATGAGCATGCCCGACTTAGAACTCGAATGGCCAACTTCTGAAGAGCTAGAGTTTCATAACCATAGTCCTCCCACCAACGTACAGCTCCCCTCTTAGTGCGATCAGCCTTAGCATCATATGAGTTGAAAATGCCTCCTATCCTCCGGTAAGTTAAAAGCTCATCACGTATCACATCCCTCTCACTGGATGTAAACATGGCTAGCAGATAAGCATTCCAGTCCTTCATGACCTCTTTGTTAGCATGTTTTTCATACTCCTGAAACTCGGGGTCCAACATGTACGCCACCGAGTGCATGAGTGAGTGATACTCATGCCACCTATTAGACATGATCTGATGAAGTTCCCTGTACCTGCCATAATCCGACTGTCCTTCCTCTAAACTTGCATCCAACCTGTTCATGCACTCATATATCTTTCCAATCGCAGGTATATCACCGTCCACAACATGAAGAAGCAGCATAACATCCTTGGACACCTCTAGCATGTCCTTAACCTGTTGCCAGAAATTGTCATCAAAAACCGTTGCATAACTGTCCCTTCCTGCTCTCGACTTCGACTCAGGCCTTGCTCTATACGCAGGGCATACGAACATCTGTTGTAAAGCTTCTCAGAGCTCCACCAGCCTCTCCATCATAATGAAGTTGTAGCCAAACCTGGTATCACAATAACGCAGCAATCGCTTGTGAGTAAACTCCGCCAGCAGTGCCACTATATGAGAGTGGTTTCTAACGAAGATCACCAAAGACTTTCCACGCTCCAGAAGTGTTGCCATCCATGGAAGTACACCGAAGTCTTTCAAGGCATTGTTCAAGCAATGGGCAAAACATGCTGCCCATTGAATTTTCGGGTACCTCTGTTGCAAAAGTGCTGCTGCTGCTCTGTTTGCATTTTCCCCATCGGTCACAACCATGATAACATTCTCTGCACCTACAATGTTAATGCCTTCTTCCCAGCAGCGCAGAGTATTTTCAGCTGTTTTTCCTCTTAAGGAAATGTCGATAGCCTTCAAAAAAGCTCCTTGTCCTTGACTATATGCCACAAGCCCCATGATATGCCGATTCCTCCTATCTGCCCACCCGTCTGCGCATATGGTTGCACCCCTCTGCTCCCACTGCTTCCTCAAGGACGCCATCTCAATGTCAATGAATCGTTTCTCTTTCACCAAAAGCTTATCCCGGAGATCATCATATTTTGGTGGTGCATAAGGCACACCATGCCTGGCAACTTCCTGTATCATGTTGAGGAAGTAAGGTGACCGAGCCTTGACAAATGGAATGTGTTCATTCCAGAAAAATCTTCCGATAGCCACATCAACTCGGTTCTTCCGCTCAGGATCCATCGAATCAACAATATGGACTTGACTCTGTTTGCTAAAAAATAGGGAACTGCAGCCACTTCCACTTGACTGGGATGATACCACCAGTGGAAATCCTTGGACAGAAGCACCACCAGATTCATTCGGCCGTTTCTTCCCCCTTGCCCCTTTCTCGGAATCAATAACCTTTTGCATATTGAGCAGATCCGCTTTCTTGTTACCTGGGATGAGAGGACAACTCACAATATCCTTGCTGCCTGGGCCTTCTCCTAATAGATGAGCTCGCACACGATCAACACCACTCAGTTTGTTCACCATTGGGCAGTATTTGCATGACCATAATTTGTGGCCATGCCCCCTGCTCTCAAGAACACTTACCTCATCCCACCATCGCGAAGAAGGATGCTTTCACAATATGCTGGATTGCTGCGCCATGCTTGTTTGCCTTGGATTGCTGCTACTGTGCCCTGAAATGGTGCGCCCTGGCTGGATTGTCGTGTGATGCCGTGCGCCCTAAAACCAGAATATTCTGCACGAGAATATTCTGAACAGTGGTCCATGTTACTAACACGGACTGTGATCCCGGCCGTGGTCGCCGGGATCACGGTCCGTGTTAGTAACACGGACCACTGTTCACGAACACGGCCGTGGGAACACGACCCATGGCCGTGTTCGTGAAACACGGTGAACACGACCGGGATCCCGGCCATGTTCGTAACACGGCTGAGAAGTATCATGATTTTGGGGATGTGTTTGACAAGAAAAAAGCTAGTGTACTGCCTATTCATTAGCCTTACGACTGTCCCATTGATTTACAGGAAGGAGCATCACCTCCGTGGGGGCCTATCTACGAATTATCCCTGTCCGAGCTTAAAGCCCTCAAAGAGTATGTGGACAAGAACCTTGCCTCAGGGTACATTCATCATTCACACAATCCCCAGTTGGAGCGCTTGTCTTCTTTGTCAAGAAGAAGGATGGGAGTTTGCAGTTAGTTATCGACTACCAAGGTTTGAATAAGGTGATTGTTCGGAACTGTTATCCGTTGCTCCTGATTTCAAACCTATTGGAACACTTTGGCGGTGCCCACTTTTTCACCAAGATTGACCTCCATGGAGCATACAACTTGATCCAGATCCGGCCTAGAGATGAATGGAAAATTGTGTTCCAAATCCGCTATGGCCACTTCGAGTACACTGTCATGCCGTTTGGCTTGATAAATGCTCTAGCAGTTTTCCAATATATGGCAAATGACATTTTTCAAGAGTTTCTTGATCAGATGGTGATCATCTACCTCGATGACATCCTCATCTACTCAAAAACTCATGAGGAGCATGACGAGCATGTGCGCAAGGTGCTGGTGAAGCTGCGGGAACATGGCCTATATGCGAAGCTTGAGAAATGTTCCTTCAATCATGAGTTTGTGGAGTTCTTTAGGTACATTATCACTCCTGAGGGTATCATGATGGATCTTGCCAAAGTCAAGACTATTCTTGAATGGGAGCTTCCACAATCAATGTCGGACGTTCAGGTTTTCCTTGGCTTTGCCAACTTTTACCACAAATTCATTGCTCACTACTCCAACATTGTCCTTCCTCTCATGCATCTCACTCGCAAGGATGTTCCCTTCTCTTGGTCTACTGCTGCCCAGTAGGCCTTCGACACACTCAAGGCAGCCTTCAGTTCTGCTCCCGTCTTGATCCACACTAATCCCTCACAACCTTTCTTCATCAAGGTGAACGCCTCCGACTTTGCCATTGGTGCTGTGTTGTCTCAACTTGGAGCGGATTAAGAATTTCATCCGGTCGCTTTCCATTCTCGGAAATTCCAGCTTGCGGAGATCAACTACGAAATCCATGACAAGGAGTCCTTGCCATCGTGGATTCCTTTGGAGAGTGGTATTGTTTCTTGGAGGGGGCAAGCCATCAAATAACGGTCTGGACAGATCACAAAAATCTTGAGTACTTTGAAGCTCTATTTCGTTAAAGTGGGAATTATCATTATCCCACTTGTAAAATAAGGTTTCCAAACCTTTATATAGTATATAAATATAACAAAATTCAACTGCATTGAGGCACATGCCATTTTATTTTAAACAAGGAAATGTCTACTCAATCACTTCTCCTCCCCTTGCCACTGCTTCACCTCTCTCTTCTCCTTGTCATCATCGTCCAATTTCTTTCCATCCTTTTAATATTGGCTCAGTTGCTCCGAGTCTAGGTGGAGCCCAAGTCCCCATTCAATCTTTACTTTCCCCTTATTAATAAAACAACTTCGTAGACTTCCAATAACATGCTGTAACACTTTTAGTATAATGCAAATCCTCTCAAAGAATTGTCTTTTAATATTAATACAATGGCATGGAACCCCATGCCATAATAAGTTACATTTTTAAATAAATACATGCCATCTCAGACTGTTATTTTTTGCCTCCAATGCCTATACAATAATCTTGGAATTTCATCACTCTCCACACTATCAGGATTTAAACCCAATAGTAATGCCATCTCTTCTCTAATACGTCCACGCTCATGTTCAGTGGTCGAAGAACCCATCCGGTTGAGCAGATTATGGAGATGCGGATAGTGCTTGGCTAGACAATATACATGCCATAAATGATGACTGGTGTCTGTCCGATCAAATGGCTTATGATATACCGTTCCATCTGCCATTTGGTTGATTTCTACAGCCACCTCCTGGACTGGCCGGTTCTCTATCACCATCGCTCCAAGCCGTTTTGCAAGGTCCCCCAGAACATACGGTTTCTTCTCCCTAGTTTCCATACTGCAAGAGATGGGGTGCACTGCATATATGTGCGTGTTCGCTACAGTTTTAATCGGCGAGTCATCGATGATGAGGATTTCACTTGAGCTAGCAGTCCGGTTCATCACTACAGCCTCTGGCTTGACGAAGATGGGCTTGCTACCCCTCACATGGACCATAGTCAAGCAATCCTCCTGCGTTAGGAGAAAGTCAAATGGTAATATTACTCGCGTCTGATCGTGCATCATCTGTAGCAACGTTAATGCATTGTGGCGCATCATGGATGTCCAAACTCCCAATTGCAAATTGAACCCGGCCCTCTGTTTTAAGTGTCGCATGGTCATTATTAGATCCCGCAGTTTCTCCCGTGTGATTAATGTGAATCTATCTCTTTTGACCAACTTGCGACCGCAGGCTTTGGAGGGTGCAATGACATTCGAGGACGAGCCACACTCATGGGAGAAAAGGACACCGTTCAGATCAAAAATGATACAGTACCTTCGCCGTGACTCTGAAATGAAATGCGTCAGCATAAAAAATGGTACAAGTCAATTTTACCATCTACAATATTAGCGAATGGTGCTCCTGATGGTCGTTGAGAGGGTTTTGGTCGAGGAAATGTGAAGGGCGGAAATACTCTCCTCTGCAATGTGGGGTCAATCGCATCCGATGGCGTGTGGGCACATGCCATTTTAGCTGTAGACTCTGGTACAACTGGCTCAACAGTGGCATGGGGTGGTTCTGATGGCGTGTGATCACACGCCATTTCAGTTGGTGCCTCCGTTGGCAAAGTGGACATGACCGAACAGGCAGCAGGGGCGGTGTAGGGAGGTTCCAACGGCGCGTAGTCAGACGATTGGGCACACGTTGAGTCCGTTGGAAATGAGGATACGACCGGCTCGGCGGCTGGGGCGGCCTCATGCGGGTCCAATGGCGCCTGGTCACTGTTAGTTGGATACGTGGACAAGATTGACTCAGTGGTATGGGCAGCATCAAGTGGAGCGTGGTCAGCTTGCTTGGCATTGATATGGATAGTAGCCTCCACCAGCTCTGATGACTCTTGCAGGCAAGTAGAGTCCACTGGCGGATCCATATGCATGTCCAAATATCTCCCTTCGATTGAGATGGTATCCTCCCGTGCTACTAAAAACAAACTCATTAGCACATTGAATTGACTATACTATATTTACCATCAATTGCTATTGAGGAACTAGGACCGATATCACTTGGGCGTACTGCTGATTCTGAAGGATTGGACATATGTTTCGACCCTTGCTTGGCACTATCCTTCCTCGACACTAAAGGCTAGAGTTTGTATCTTAATTCAACTGAATAATCTCTACTTACCATTTGCTCTACGACCTACATGGACAATGTTAGAAATGGTAAAAGGTTAGGAATGGATGTACTATTATTTACCTGATGGTTTGTCTTGTATGACCTTCCTCTGCTGCTCTTTGGCCACCTCAGGCTGGCCATCGTCGTCATCATCGTCGTCGTCGTTATTGTGATCGTCACCATTGTGAGGACCATCCAAGTCCTCTTCGTCCTCCTCTTCTTTGTCCTCCTCTTCTTTGTCCTCCTCTTCGTCCTTCTGCTCTTCCTGCTCATTATCTTTCTCTGGCTCCTCATCCCCCTCCTGCATTTCTTCCATAGGCTGCTCAGGCTAGATGGCTTGTTCTTCCAGGACCATCTTGGGAAAATCATCTGGCCGAGTCTCCATCTCAAAATACAAGACATCCATAGCCTATTTTAGTGCGTGACCTAGGACCGTATCCTCACCTGACTGTCTTAACATGGTTTCTACACGTTCTTGCACCCTTTGAAGACGACGAGATGAGAAAAACGTGGCCCTGACTTGAAAAGCATCCCTCATCCATTGTACCTCTCCATTGAGATTGGGGAAGGGGAGTCTGCCATAGGAATCTGAGTCAGGAGGTGGTGACTGCCTGCTTTCACTTAGCCCTTGATCTGCAATGAATGGCATGAGCACACACGCCATAACCGCGAGGCATTACTTATCATCTTTTCATTGCCCTTCTTCCTTTCCGAATCAAACGCCTCTGATCCCGACGACTGTCCAACGTGCTTTCCCTTTTTATGACCACTGTCAGTTTGAGCTTGGCTGGTGCTTGCCTGTTTTGCCTTTGAAGAAGTGTCTCCTGCAAGGAATGGCATGAGACCACATGCCATTGCAAATATAATTTGTACCTCCTTTTTTCCTATTGCTTGTCTGTTTGTCCTTCTTCGACGCACCACCAGTGCGCTTTTCAGTCCTCGTGTCTGAATATTCACAACGATCTATAATCAAAATGGCGTGAGGCCTCACATGACCTTACCTTGTGCAAGTTGTGAGCTCGGCCCAACATGGGTATCTTCAACAGTAGCTGTTAACGCCGTTTCAGCATTTGGGGGTGGCCACGCTCCTGCATACAGAGCTTGTGAGATAACATTTAAACTTAAAGTGCGTACTCACCAGGTTTGCAGAGAAGATACTATTTTTCTTTGGCAACTGTAATTATATGCTCCATTGAAGTCACCTCTTCAATGGAGTTTGT